AACTGGAAAACGAAATTCTGCCGAGCCGCTGCCTCTAAGAACTGGGGATATAAAGCCTAGTACGGAAATTTGGTACTTACGAGTAATACTGCGCCGTAACATCATCAAGTTTCCTCTGCAGCACATCATACTGCTCTCCTTTACTTCTAATGTATATGTTAGCCTGGTTGGATACATTTGTAAGCCAAGTTCCTTGAGCATTGACCTTCAAAAATTAAAAAATAGATGTGTAAACGAAGCAAACCAAGTATAAACATACCTGAGCCTCTACCAGCTCATGTTTACCAAGCAAATCCTCTACGCCTAGTAGATGTTTTCCTACATCGCGATTGCGAACAGCCGGCTAAAACAAAGTCACTGAGACCAGCCACCCCCTAACCTGCATAAATAACCCACTTACCTCTAATTGTTTAAGTTCACTAGCTAGAGTATCAATGTCTCTTAGCAGCGACATGAGATCATTCAGGCCCATCAGGGCTTTTCGACGTTGTTCCAGCAAATTTAGTAGGTGGGTCCACCTGCATACATATCGTATTTTTCTCGCAAAAAAGGATAGAGGGGTAGGAGTTACAGAATGAACATGCTGAGCTGCATCCCTCTGCCTACCTAAACCTATCTAGCACAAACGGAGCATGCTATACACCGTTTTCTCTACCTTCAAAGTAAAAGATCACTATTTTTACTCATTTCGACCTTCATCTAAGCCCATTTTATCTATTTACACACGATAACAACAGGTTAAACTCACCGTCGTCTTACAACATAGACACCTGCACGACTTTATTTACAAAAGTCGAAGAAAGCCTGGCACTTAGCCAGCTATTAGCAGAGTGCTACTCCCATGAGAATATAACTAGCACCGGTAAGAGAAGAAAATAAAAGCCGAAAAGCTGACCTTTCAATGATATCTCTCTCCCTTACTCGTATCTTGTCACTTTCATGGTACTTCTCATTACAAAGATCAGCACACATCGATGTAAGCAGTTTAAAGCGCTCTTCCTAAAAAATTTTGGGGGTTAAGCGAGTAGAGAGCCGGGATTTAACATCGCTTACCCTTGCGAGAATATCGTTTGCAATAGCCTGTTGTTTTTTCAATGATTTTTCGACTTCGTTGGCGGTTCTTCCTTGATCCATGTCTTCCAGGATAACTTGCACATTTTTCAGCCAGCTCTGAAACGTGTAATTATCCTTTGATTCAACCAGATAGGCGGCTGGGAGCGGGGTTCCGTGACCTAGTTAAGACTAGAGAGTGATTAGAGAGCATGCGCGCGGGAGAGACGCA